TTTTTTTTCCTGGTTCGTTCGAAACACGCCCCATAATCACAGCTCTATGGAGCAGTATCAGACTCATATTCTGACTAGAATTGAGTCGGACTACGTCAGGCTAGGAAGCCGGAGTACCCAGAGAGAACTCACATATGTTTAGGGAGAACATGCAAACTCCATACAAAAAAAACCCAGGCCAGGAATCAAACCTAGAACCTTCTTGCAAAAAAACATGCTACAGAGGTTATATCTCTGATGAAGTGAGGGCATTTTCTTGATGATAGCAGTTTATAAAGTTAACAACAGAGGTGGGCAGAGAAGCCAAAAACTTTAGTCAAGAAAGAGTGGGGCTACTTTAACTCTTCTTCTTTTTTTTTTTTTTGTACTTAAGTAAAAGTAAAAAGGAGTCATCTAAGAAATTGCTTAAGTAAAAGAAAAAAACTTTTTTTGTAGAAAGGCTTCTTGAGTACTGAGTAACTGTTTGATAATAACATCAGATTAAATGTTTATAAATTATGCTGGGAAGCTGATTTTATGTGCAAATTCTGGTATTTTAAAAATGCAAATGCATAACGAATACAAATAAATGTCATGAATATAAAATACCAAATTTGTGCAGTGCAAAAAATTTTAACATTTTCTTTCAACATAAAACTTAGAAAGCCGATCCTTACAATGAGAACTGTATATATGTTAGGACGGGTTAAAGAACTTCCAATGTCAAATCTGTTAACTGTTCTATACTCAAGGTATAAAAAATATAAATGAACTGTATCATTCCTCACTGATTGCAGAGATGTTCCCAGGGATTTGTGCTTCTCTATAGTGAAAGTTAAACTCATTCTAACTGGTACATACTAAATATGTACTTATGAAAGTGATAATGAGCACATGGATACTGCTTTGCAGTAGGCTGTTCAATTCTAGCAGACGTGGAGTTAGTCCATCCTGAAAGCCTGGCTTGCTGGAAGCAAATCCTGTAACAAATGGGGGATGACTCAGCATTTTGAGGCCTAAACAAATTCACGGATTTTACTGCTCCTCACTTTAACAAATTGCTACATTTCATAAAACATAATAAACCCACTAAAACAAGAGAAACGAAAAAGCAACATCTTTACAGAAAAAGAGGAGGCACTTCGGACAAAGCAGGACTTGCTGCTAAAAGCAGAGGCTTAAAGGGCACCATGACATTGAGAGTTAATTAGAGAAAATAACAGAACATTCCTGCATCTTATGAGGGAAAGCTACATATTCATAATTGTGTGTGTGGGTTGCTCAGCAGGTAAACCCTGCCCCCGTGTCTTCATAAGAGTGGTAAATGCATTTTTGTGTGTTTTGAGGGCTTTAAACAGAACCGTCCGGTGCTGTAGCACAAGGTTAATGATAAAATCTGACCCACTCACTGATAGACAGATCAGGAAAATATCACACACACATTTCAGGAGAGTGTGTGTCTCCATATGCATACACTAATTAACCAACACAATAACAATCCCATGGCTCATCCAAACACTGCTCAAGCTGTCATGTTTTAATTAAGGCGAGTCAGAGCCAAAAGGGGGGAAAACACACAAAACTGGGTAATGGGCAACTTTACACCAAGTAATTCAGAAACTTTAAAGCACAGGAAAGTTTGTGTCTGCTTTAACTTGGTCTAAAATAACATGGATTTTAAACGTTCAAAAAGTAATTTAATTGAAAGTTGATTTTTCCTTAAAAAACCCTTTTAGTTTTGGGGAAAGAGTTAACCATCTTAAACAGAGGTGTTTCAACTGTCTGCCACATGGACTGATTACTGATTTCTTCTTTAAGTTATTTAGCTTTTAATTTGTTTTAGCCTATTCTAAAAGACAAAAGATGGCTTTCAATTAGTCTTTCCTAATTGTTGTTTTAAGCCAGTTTTTAATAAAAATAATTCAGTTTCAATTTGGTCCAACATACTTAAGTAAAAGCTGCTGGACAACTGTGGTCCGACATACTGCAAAAAGAGACTTACCAGAAAATGATCTAAATTCAGAACTGTCTCAAAGGTGTTGATGCGCTCCCTCATCTTTCCTTCTTCTCTTGTAGGCTGTTGCTGCTTTTCAGTCTCCAGCTTTGCTCTAACTTACAGCAGGTAGCCTGGATATCGGTGTCTTACATCTGTCCTTCACTGTCTTTGACCATGTAGAGGACAAATAAATCCTGCCTCTGTGCTGTACTGTAACTACAGAGACTGACAAGTATGGTAAGAAGTGCACACACACTCACACACACACACACAAAGGGGGAAGCAGCAGAGGTTAATACGGGCACTTGAGGGTTGACAATAAAGTGTCAGCAGCTCTTAATTCAGAGGGGAAGTTTCTGAGTCAGACGGCCGGTCCAGAGGCGTCCTGCAGCGAGGTAATAAATGATACCAGCAGGCAGGACCTGAGCAGCAGGTATGAAAATAAAACCTGCTGAATGAGAGGCGACCACAGCCATGTCCAGTCTGTTTGGAATGAGCTGCATTATACAGTAATCACCTTCAATATTGATCTGCTATGTTGAATGATTATTTATTGTGTCTGACAGTGATTTCTGTTGTGTCTGGTTAGAAACATGCACAATGACAACATATTGAGTTTGCTGACTTGGAATTAGCCCCAAGAGAGGGATTTTGGCAGTATTGGATGTTATTAACATGCTGCTTAGTCAAGCCTATACCATTTTCACATGAAACTGTTCATAAGCAGCACCAAAACAAAATGTATTTGAGGGATTTTGCATAGGAAAAGAAAGTGGGAGTCACAGCAAAAATGAGGTTGGCTCTCTTCTGTTAATATAGTTTTATTCAAAGGAATATTATGAAATTATCTGATTCTTACAAAGGCTACATTTATTCTAATGTAATATGTAGAAACAGAGCTACACTTAATGTTTAAAAGCTTGTTAGACCACCTTTATTTATTGATAAAAGAAAACCAGACATTTCAAAATTAACATTTAAATTAGGCAATTTGAAATCAGAAAGCAAAAAGCATTTTCTAATTACACATTTAAAATTGAATTATTAAAGAGGATTTTTTTAAATTGTATATATTTATCAATTTCTTAATAGAGATCTAAAAACCTACATGTATAAATTTGATTATAAATACCTTTCTTAATCACACATTTAAAAAGGTTATTTCTTATTCTATTTCCATTTACTCTTCTCAACTTACATTTTCCTTTTGTTTTACCTGCTCTATTTCCCTTTTCCGTGACCCTTCTGGTCCCAGAGCACACTGGAAACTAGTAAAGCTCTCTCATTTGTTAGACTGCCACACTTGGTTAAATGACCAATGAGGGAGCTGGTTACATCTGAGGAGCAACAGTGATTGGTCAGACTGCTTTTCAGTGTTCTTTACCTTTTAATGGAGAGGGTAAAGTAAAAAAAAAAAGGATTCAAATATGCAAGTTAAAAAAGAAAATGGAATAAGGAATCATCTTTTTAAATGTGTGATTAGTGATGGTATTTATAATTAGATTTATTAATTTTCTAATTCCATTATTTAATAATGGATTAATAAATACAATTTACAATTTCTCTTTAATAATTCAATTTAAAATGAGCAATTAGAAAATGCTTTGAAACAGCTGGGTTTCCTTTTCAGTGACTCTGTAGGTTCCCTGTAGCTATTTAACATCCAAAATCACCACCCCTCCACCACCATGCTTGATACCTACTATACAGTAAGGTGTTCTCTGTCTGGTTTACAAATCTTTACTTTGGTTTCAGGCTTGCCAATAAAAAAAAAAAAAAAAAAAAACATTTTTATTATCTTTTTGTGTATACATATGCATTTGTGAGAGAATAGTCTTTCTCCTCGTGTTCATTCTTCAATCTGTTGTTTTTTTTCTTCTTCTATTTTGACTTTGTTGTTGTATCTCATATGAAGTCATTGTGTGTTTCATCAGACCTTTGGGAATGAACTTGCTCGAATGTCCACTACTGAAAACATTGGTAAGTGTTTAGCATGGTTTTTACTTGTGAATATTTGTTTTCACTGTGTAATAATTTATAGCTGCGGGTTGCTTCTCTATGGTCTATGTTAAGTCTGCCTGGTGAAAAGACACTTGTACAGATTCCTGTGTTTGCATAGTTGATCACACTCACTGATAATCAGGTAATCAAGTGCTTTGGATTAACAGCATCTGGGTGCTTCTCTGTGCTATTTTTTCAATGTAGATTTAACATTGCGTTTTCATTTATGCTTTTGCTGCCATCAACAATCCTGTCACAGTTTGTTTGATCAGAGGAGGGATTGCTGCAGACTTCTTCTAGGGGTTTTCCGGTTTGGTTGTTGTAGTGCGCATGCCCAACATTTCGTCGCCTATTCTTGCTTTGGCATCACAGCGCCACTTACAGGCCTGGCATACATTTTGCAGCGTTTTCATGCATTCGTGTGGACGCTCACATTTCTTTTACGTCTCCGTCTTTACGGCAAACGTTTTGGAAAATATCAGCGTTTCGTATTCGTTTTGACTTCGTGTGGACGGGGCCTTAGTGACACAATCAACCAGGCTTTCTTTCTTGGACAGAAAACTTTATACCAACTGGCTTAATAAACTAAACTTGACCACACAGTATTATTATTATGGTTATATGATTTATGTAAGTGAATTTGAATCTGTCAATATGTTCTAACCAATATGATTATGTGTACAACTATATATGAATAAAATGTATGTATATAATATTTGGTAATATTTGTTGTGAATTGGAGATAAACAAGTAAAGGTTTCTGTTTTTTCTGTGTAAACCTGAAGTTATGCTGTGCTTCATTTACCCCAGAACTTAAACTTGGGAAGCCAAGGTGATGTTATCTCCAAAGTGATGGAGCTATACTTTCCCAATGGATGTTTGTATTCTCAATTGTTCTTATATGGCTAAGACGGCCACTGTTGCAACTATAAAATACACAAAAACATTATTCTCTGGTGTATTGTGCGCTTAAAGGTATAGTGGAGGATTTAAAAAGCCTGCCCTCTCCACTTTAAAAAGAAATGCACATGCACACTCCTGTACCCGCTCCTGAGAGAGAACGCCTATTAAACGCGTGCAGGAGCGGGAATGCAATGATAAGACGGTCGCTCAGATGCATCTCATCTCACCCTTATTCATGTATGAAAAGTTGGTACAGTAAAAAAAGTAATGACATGCTTGTATATGTATGTGTGCTGTGGTGGAAATGTGGAAATGTTTGCGGGGTACATAAGGATCTGTGGCCACCTTATAACGACTCTCTGCCATTTTCGAAGAAGCAGGGTGAGAAATGTGAGCTTCAATGACTGGCTGAATCCGTAGTTCCCACATAAAAGTGCGGATGCGCAGAAAAGGATAACTGAGGACGAGCATGCAGGGTGGCCTTACATAAACAATCACCAGAATGATGGATAATTAGGATGACCACTTATTTTGATGTTCAATCTGGAAAAAGAAAGTCCTCCATTATACCCTTTAGGACAGCACTATAACATCTGCTCTTATACTCACTGAAAACTACAACATGTATGACTGACTAAATGTTACGCAGCTATTAAAGTGCAACTAAAAGTTTAACCACTGGTAAAGTGGTTAAACAGTTTGGTATGGCTCTGACTTTTAGGCACATAGATCTGATTTTCAAGGGTGTTCCAGATTAAATTTCCCTTTTAAATTGAACATACACATGCTACTCTCATACATAAAACCCTTGAAATATATTATGATGATTGGTAGGGGACTTGGAGTTAGGCCTCCTGACCGCTGACGTGCGGCAGGAAGATGCTGGAATCAAACTCACGTCTTCTGGATTGCAAACAAACAGCCAACAGTTGCTCACCAACTACAATAATTCATGCAGCAGTAGAGTTGTGTTTATGCCCTTGCTAAAGCTGGCTTTCTTTCAAAAAAGGGATTGTTGTTTTCCACTGTTGTCAAATGAACAGGTTAAGACATTTATTTCACATTGTTGATTTGATGTAACTTTCTGTATTTCTTTAGAGGGAAAACATTGTACCAATATCTAATTAAAGTGAGAATTATTATTATATTATGACTTGGATCTAACTATATAACTGAATATCTCTTGTTGCTCTTTGAATAATTATACATGTTGTTAAAACAATGTTTTCGTCTTTTTTTTAGATCATATTAATTGTGAATTATAATGATATGAATTTGGATGTTTTATCTAATTATTAATAAGTTTGTTGAATTTATTGTTCAGTGCAGGTATTTGTAGAAATAAAAAACATTGCAGGAAACAGGATGAACAATTTAAATCAACACGTGTGCCTCTAACGGCATCATTAACACTATTAAAATAGTCGATTAGTTCATTCTATATCATTTACTTTTTAATTAGTAAGCTAGACACTTTTATATAACTTAGTTTTTCTTCTGATTAGTTCCCTCTACCACACTCACTTATTTTACTCTTAATCCTCAGCAGCAGCATAAATCAACCTACAATCTCAGTTTACAGGAGGTATTCCACTTGTTTTTCCAACCACAACACTTCTCTAAAGGTATCGTTCATTTGAAACCTCATTTTTGAAATGCTGCACATAGTTTTTGTCCAAACCATTTCACCTGCGTCTGAACTCTCCTGGCAACCTTTCCCCTTTCCGTTCCCCTCTTTAAACCTTCCCTCTCACCACCCCAGTGTCTTCATCCATCTATCCAATCCTCCCCTCTTCCCCAACCCCCACCCCTGAGCTGCAACCTTACTCGTTGATAATTTTAGCAGGAGTGTGACCCAATGTTCACTGACACACTTCTGTTTCAGTCTCTGCGACTGTTTGTCGTGTTTTGTTTTTTTTCCTGGTCCGTCTCTCCTGGGAGGCTTTTCCTCAGGACAGGTGGCGAGATTTAACCTTTGCTCTGAACAATGGCCGGTTATTGACACTATTTCATAATGTGGTGTCTGATCTCGAAGCCATGGATGTAACGGTGTCATTATAGCATCGTAACCATGTCTGTAATTGAAAAAAACATCCAGTGACAGCCACCAAGTGTGAAGTTCAATGGCTTAATCGTCCACATCCCAGTCGTTCCAGCGTGTGAGACATTTGGCAGGTGAATGATATCCCTCCCCTCATTTAGTCGCCTGTATTTTTTAAGACTTATGAGCTCTGTCTCACTAGTCTGCTTCTT